ACGTGTATGGTGTGTGTGCTCTTTCGAGGACTTGTCTAGACACATATTCCTATACGTTACTTATTGTACTTCAAGGCTTTGTTCTTTTTATAGATTTTCACAGTGTATGTCTCGAACATCTGTCCACTGACGCTGCAGAGTTATAAATAGAAAGACTAAAATATTAATTTGGTTTCTTACTACACTTTCGTAGAATACACCAAGTTTACATCAATACAATCCCTCCGCTGCGTAGTTTGAGTTCAACCAAGTATATCTCTAAACCATCTCTCCACTGAACACAACAGATGCGACCGGTCGTGTCACCCAGGGGAATGCTATACATTGACAGGTATGTGTAACATTCGATAGTCAGATTACATATTTATATCGTATAGCTAGAACTACATTTCATAAATAGATTATATATGTAGTCTGATCAATTCTCATGCTTCGGTGTTTCGCACTTGCATAGTTCTAGTATAGTAAATATTACAATCCTAAAAGATGTCTTTAATACGAACAATTCCATAAATGCGTGGTTATTCATATATTTTTTGAAATGCTCAGTGCAATTCATCATCCGACTTTCTAGGAATATATATTTATGCATGCATATGCATACATACGTACATACATACATATATGCATACATACATACATGCATGCATACATACATACATATATACATACATACTCATAAATGTATGTATGTATGTATGTTTGTATGCATATATGTATGTATGTATGTATGTTTGTATTTTTCTATGTATGTATGTATGTATGTCTATATATATATAGCCTTACCTAAAAACTTAACTAACTTTGTCTATATTTTCATCATGTCATGATGCTAACTATATTCTTTTATTCTTGCGCTAGTCAATCAATATACTTAGTGGTGGTACTCTGCCTTGGAACCTTATATATCCTATTAATAGATAGATATTATGTAAATAGATACATATTCTCTAAATAGATATATATTCTCTCAATAACATAAAGGGTGCACCCCGTCTTTCCACCTACTTTGCGCCGACTCAAGTAGCTTATGCGTAGCCTATCGCCTCAATGTCTCCCCATTATACCTCTCACTAGTCTCCCATGTCCTACTGCTATGCAACCTCCATCACTATGGCATACATAACATATCATAATTGTTTCTCCCGACCCTTCATCCCGTACAGCTGGCAAAGGCGACTGTCCCTATTCGCCTGAGAACATCTCCACATGCGCCTGTGGCAAGGAAGCTCTTACCACGGTGTGTGCTCGCAAGCGCATTCCCATGCGACAGTCCTGTGACGATCCCAGGCCAACGTGCGAGGCTGTCTGTGGCAAACCGCTGCCGTGTGCGGAGTACGTCTATTTATATGGGTTCTATTTTTGGTATCGTGTCTATAAATAGAACCGTCCGATTTTCTATATATGTTTGAACGTATAACGTGCTAAGTAGGCTGTGTGCTCGCAAGCGGATTCCCATACGACAGTCCGTCCTATGACGATCCCAGACCAACGTGCGAGACTATCTGTGGCGTACCCCTTGCTGTGGGATTGTACGCCCATTTATATCTGTACTGTTTTTGTGGACTATAAATAGATGGACATGCCCATTTGCATACCGAGTGAAGGGCACGTTTGTTCATATCTGTGTTGTTGTTCAAATATATTTTTAATAATAGTTTAAAACACACCCCAACAGCATCTGTGCAAGCAGCAATCCCATACATACCCTTCTTACATGCACACATTCACATATTATACATCTAGCGTCACTCTCTGTTGCATCTATAGACTCTCCAAGACACCTTAACAGCATCTGTGCAAGCAACAATCCCATACATACCCTTCTTACATGCACACATTCACATATTATACATCTATCGTCACTCTCTGTTGCATCTACAGACTCTCCAAGACACCCCAATAGCATCTGTGCAAGCAACAATCCCATACATACCCTTCTTACATGCACACATTCACATATTATACATCTATCGTCACTCTCTGTTGCATCTACAGACTCTCCAAGACACCCCAACAGCATATGTGCAAGCAACCGTGCCACACAGGTCCCTGTCTCCCCTGCGCCAATGGCACCGTCCGCATATCCTGTCGGTGTGGGTTAGAAACCAAGACCTTTGCGTGTACAGACGCGCACGTCCAGGGCGTGAGCGTAGCCCTACGCTGTAAGCGGATGTGTCAGAAGAAGCTCCATTGCAAACGCCATACGTGCGAAGAGCGATGCTGTCCCTTTGCGCAGAGACAGAGGTCGCGTGGTTACGTGGGATTGGTGCGGGACTCGGCGCACGAGTGCACGTCGCTTTGTAAGCGCACGCTCAGCTGTGGGCTGCATGAGTGCATGCGCGAGTGCCATGACGGCGCTTGCCCGCCGTGTATTGAGGTGTGTGTGTTTGCCCTTGGTTGCTGTATACGATGTGTGTTGTGTTTTCAATATATATATATATATATATATATATAGTGTGTGTGTCTGGTCTGTGTCTGTGTCTCTGTCTCCTTGTTTATGTGTGCATGTGCGTATGTGGCTGTATTGTTGTTTTCACATAGCCTCTTATGACCTCTTATGACAGCCTATACTACCTAAGCGTTAAGTCCATGCGCAAGCGCTTATCCCCTGGAGTATACCTTCAACGCCCTGCACCTACCCTCGTACACGCACAATATCATCCACATCAACATATACCTATTTATAGTGTCTACTCGTACTCATCTCTGCCTGTATTCCTTCATCCATTCTATTTATTTTTACTTTACTCACACTGATCCACACACATACCTTCCCCCAGGCCTCGTACGATGATCTCCACTGCCTGTGCGGCCGGACCATGCGGCGCGCGCCCATCCCCTGCAACACCCCACGGCCCACCTGCACATACCCGTGCACGCGCACACACGCATGCACCCACCCCGTCACCCACGACTGCCACAATGAGGACGCTTGTCCCCCTTGTGTGGTACTAGTAGACCGGGAGTGTGTGGGAGGGCATGAGGTGCGTGGCAGTATCCCGTGCCATATGACCGAAGTCTCCTGCGGCGCGTTGTGTGGGCGTCCGTTGGCCTGCGGTCATCGATGTAACCGCAAGTGCCACGGCGGCGCCTGCGTACCCGCAGCTCTGGCCGCAACCTCCAGCCAAACCGCAACCGCAAGCGGGAGAGCAGTCGGAGCTGATACCAGAACGGCGGGGTGTTGGCAGGCCTGTGGGCGTGTGCGGCCGAGTTGCGGTCACCTGTGTGAGGCGTCTTGCCATGCGCTGGCAAACACGCCATGTCCCACAAAGTGCACGAAACTCGTGGATGTGTTCTGTGCGTGTGGGATGAGGGCGGATAAGATGCCATGCGCAAAGGTGTGATGTATTTATGTATATTTATATAACTATACTTTGTATATTTATATATATATATATATATAATTTCACGTATACATAGTCACGTTGAAAATAAAAAAACGAGGCGCATTAGACTAACAACCTCCCTCCACCGTCTTTCAACCTTATTACCCTCTTACCATATCCCTATACGCACTGTGCAGGTCAAACGAGGTGTAGACGACTCCACCACAATCCTGGCCCTGACGGAGCATGCGTCCATGCTGGATGGTGCCACATCCCACACTAAGCTGCCCTGCAACGATCGCTGTACTACGCTGCAGCGTAACTACAGGCTGGCGCAGGCCCTGGATATCAGCGTCTCGGGCGCCAATGCTGACCGGGTTGTGAGTGACCGCGGGAATTCGGGTGCGATGAATAATCAGGGTGTGGCGGAACGCCAATTCGGAGATATTTTGGTCCGGGCGTATCATAGCAGACCCGATTTCATTCTGTCGGTGGAGGAGTTCTTTGCGCAGACTATCAAGCAGTATAAAGAAGGTGTGTTGTGTGTGATTGTGTGTCTGTGTGTACTTTTTCTATTTGGGGGATATTTATGTGTTTCTGTATGCGTCTTTCTGCTGTGTGTGTGCATGTATGCGTGTGATGAATGTTTATAAGTGTGTGTAGAGTACGGGCATGGGAGTGCTTGTGTACGTGTGTTGGATTCTTCTGTATGCATGTGTGTTTGTGTGTGTGTTTGTATGTGACTTGTGTTTAATCATTTATAGTGTTCTCGTTCAAACGCTACGCTAAGCCCCTCGTTGGTTTTGATTGGGTGCTACCTAACTGCTGAGATAAAGCATCTTGTCATTCATGGGAAAGATGACATTCACACCTAGTTCATATGTGTACACATACACAGAACACAAAACAACTGGCGTGAGAGATATATATAGATATATATATATATGTGTGTGTGTGTGTGTGTGTATGTGTGTGTATGTATATATACTTATATATATATATTTATGTATTAATGTGTGTGTGTGCGTTTGTGGCTGTGTGTCTGTGTGTTCATATACATAAATATGCCAATACCCACAACAGCTTTCTTTTCCTCCACTCATTGACATATCTATAACTCATTGACATATCTATACATGTTTGCTCTTTATCAGGCAAGAGCAGTGGCACCGCTCTACTGAGTCTATGTGGAGGGGTGAAGTCTATCCAGCAATTGACTGCTTCGTACACTCCTATTTCCCGGTACCAAGTGGAGATATTCCAGTTGCTAAGCAACCATTATGGTCTCCATGCCGACCTCAACGAGTACGGCAAGCGAATGAAGATGGATGTGGCCTGTGATGCACGATCGTTCGTGCCGGGATTATTACTTTCACAAGTATGTCGTGCATGTATATACATAGATACATACATGCATTTACGCTTATCAATTCAGCTGTTTGGATGTAGCATACAATGCCACAGATTCGCCTGCCACAAGTTTGGGCCTTCATGGCCTCGATATATATATAGACTATGCGACCCTTATGCTGTCTTACTTGAGTCGCTTGGGATATTGTGTACACGTGTAAGTAGTTCAATAGGTGTAGGAATGCTGTGCATTGTTTGGATCTGTGGCTGTTACTGCCAGCTGGTTGTCAGCTAACACGAGCGTGTTGCCGCTCTTACACACACACACACACATATATATATATATATATATATATATATATATATGTATATATATATATATAATATATATATATATATGTATGTGTGTGTGTGGTGTATTTTATATATATATTTTATATATATATATATCAAATATAT